CCTAGAAACAACCTTTTACTTGGTGAAAATCTGCCCATTTTGTCTGTTGCAAAGGATGGTAACGGCGTCAAGTGGGATGTGAATTCACGTTCTGATTTGATGGTATTATTCCTCAAAAAGAAGATTATCGATGAAATAAATAGCTCTTCTTTTCAAGGTCTACTCGAACAGGTCACACTACATAACTTCTCGAGGAGATTTGGTTGTCGTAGACGCGACTCGGTCGTCATTTGGAGATTACAAGGTTTGAAAACCATCAGCGAATTTTTAAGGTTTCGTCTGACGAGCTATTTTATAAGATGAACTTAGCGGATTTTAATGTGTAGTATAGCTTTCAGTACCATCGTTTGGTACCGAACTCAGAAAAAAAAAACACCTACATACACCTTTAGTGGTTATACGTAACACGGAAATGTTGTTAGAAAATGTTTTGTGTTGTGGTGTAGTGAAGTGTAGTTTTCTTCAATATGCTTCCACTTTGCCAAATACTTCAATTTTGATGACAGACATTTATTCCGGACTGTCGCTGGCAGTCATGAGAATTACCTTACCTTTCATGAAAAGGGTGCAGACCATACACCACAAGTGACGACGCCTCCAAGTAAATCTGGTTAGTAGTGGTTCATAGTGATAGCTGATTTTTGGTAAATGATAGTTGTAATTAGTGACAACTGATAGAATACAACTGCAACAGGCTAATCATTTCATTGGCAGAAAACATTTACATTTTGTGGAGGCCGTCGTCACTTGTGGTGTATGGTCTGCACCCGACGCTCTTCTCGTTTTTTTTTGAAAGGGAGGGTACTTTTGTCGCACACGATGGAAATAGAGGTGGAGGAAAATGGGATGCCATTCCTAAAATAACACAATGCGAAAAAAAAAATCGAAAACCAATCTCCAAATACAAAAAAAAACTAACAGCGTGGGAAAGTGATGTTCTTTAAGCGTTCAGTGGGGCTAATAAGTTTATCATCTTCAGAGTTTTTGTGGATAATTTGTTTGATTGGTTCAGTTTCTGCCTTCTGTCATTTTCTTTAGCGTTGTCATAATGTCGATGGACATTTAGGTTGTGGCCTCCGTCGATGGACTCGGAGAAGCGGTTTCGAGCATAATAACGGTCTATCAGCAGACTAATGCAGGGTGAGATCGTTCTTTTGAAGTAGTTCATGATCTGTATAGATATCAGCAACATTCGCTTAATTTCAGGGAACCTTCGGGAGGGTTGTCTATCATTTATTATTCTGAGGACAGAACAATCTACTCCGCTGGTTCTTCACAAAAGCGATCGGAGTCGTTCGACTGTGTGTCGTCCTTGAAGTGAGTCGCTTACTGCTTAAGTAGCCGTTTTCTTTTCTTACTGTTTTCAAGAACTGTTAGTGAAAACAAGGAAAATCAGCATACCACAATTGCTATTTGGCTCTCAACCACACCGTCAAGAGCACTTTTCGTTTTGAAGTTTTGGAAGAGTTTTATGGGAAAATAACATATTCTTTTATACTTATTTTGTATTATTTTGTGGTAAACACCCATCTTCAGGGACGGAGCTCGAGCTCGATGGATACTTGATGGCGTGGTGATCTCTGGAACGGAAACAGGCATCGAACTCTCCCAGAACAATCGTCGCTTGACAATGATGGTACCAGATGCCCTTCGAAATGTCAGTCCCTTAATCGTAACCTCGTACATTTTTTCTGTCGACAGATCTTTTGTGCAGTTCTATCGCTAAAAGCATAAGTCATGTTATTATGTCGCGCACGGCGAATGACCACGGTCGCCGATTGTTTTATGAGGTTTTGCACTTTTATAGGGTCGTAACGAGCACAAGTTGGAGTGTAAAGTTGATGCAGCTTCAGGAGTATTATTCGATCAGACATCCTTGAAGATCAGGGTCATAGGTAAGGAGTTTAGGAATTGAACAAAGGCATATTCGTCATTCAGCAAAAAAATAATTGTCACATTTGTTTCAGAAGAACCGAAATTAAGACCTACTCCAGTAGAAAAGTTTTTACCACTGGGCTCTCGCCTGACGATTCCTTGCTCGCCAAGGAAACATAGTGGTGTCCCATTGAGGATTCAGTGGTATTTCAACGGGAATGAGGTATGAGATTCCTCTTTTTTTGATGCGATGCGATTATCCTTTTTTTGCAAATTTCTTCTTCTTTCTTTTCGTTTTTTTTTGCAATTTTTTTGAGCTGTGAGTAAAGTAATGTCATGTTTGCTGTATGAATTTGCGAATCAACGAAACCGGTGTGAATACTGACTGGCCCAATCATCGCTAGTTATCCGCACTAATTGGCACCCGATGCGAGGACACCTCACGTATG